GATGCTGGTGATAATGCTGGAGATGACTGAACTGTGCCCATGAATGACTGTTCATCCGCATCAGGTAAGGGGGGAGGGGGTACCAATGATGATTGCAAGGTGGACGCTGCATCAAATTGGAGGTATTTCAACATCTGACCTGTCTCTATGTTGCCCTTTTCTATCTCAGAAGAGTCGTTTGACATAGAATTTTCAACAGACGATGCGGGCGATAGCGGTGGCATCAAGTAAGATTGAGAGGTGGAAGGGTCAACCAGAGGTACCGTGGCACCAATAGCCACACTAGCTTGATTTTCTACATCGTCAATGCAAAAGTTCACTCCCGAAGTAATGTGTTCAGTAACCAAGAACGAAAGAGAAATATTGTTTTGGTCGAGCTGACTGCTCTGGGATAATGGAGAGGCTGTTTCATTGCAAAGATCTTCGCTTTCTTCMGTAGAACCAGTATCAGTAACCTTGATATCTTCGTCATCATAATATTCATCAACACCTGTGTTAGATCCGGCTCCTTCCGATTCGTAGTCGTAATACCGCTTTTGGTGTTTACATTTGGTGGCTAACCCTACATGATCTTTGTTTTTGATTTGCGTGTAACGTTTCCAAACACAGCATCCAAATCCCATGCCCACTAAGACTACCAAAAGCGCCAGGACCCACGTAATAGTGGAATACATACTTCCTTCGTCATCCAGATTCGTAGAACTGTCACTGTCGAGCAAACCAATACTTATCCCAGAATTTTCTGAAGTAGAGGATTCGCCTGCGATATGTGGCTTGGGATCGATTTCGAGGGGCGGAATTCTACTATCTGAAGGTGGAGAGAAGACATCAATTTCCAGGTCTGAGGGCGGAGGATCTGGGACCTCTACGTATGTGGGCCGCAAAAAGGTTTGAGGAGTGGGTTCCGAAACGGGAAATGGCATCATGGAAGCAGGAGCACATACATTATTCACTCCCTCGCTACAATAGCCGCTGCAGCAGTCTTCGTTGATTTTGCATTGGGTTCCAAGATCGGCACAGAAGATCGCTCGAACCTGTGGCATGGGGTCACCATCCTTTTGGTAGATAGGGAAGACCCGGGTGCGAGCTGTTCGGTCATCGGACCATTTTTTAAATATGTATGGAGGCTGATCTGCCACTGACACGGGTAGCTTGAAACCTTTCCATGATGTGATCAACTGAGGGGCATCAATGTCGTAATCATCAACTACAACTTTCAAGCCAGAGGGCTGCGTGGTAACGTTCACCATAATGATGTTTGGTTGAACATCTACTGACACCGTTTCCGTGAGCCCATACTCGTCTTCGGCGGTCAAGATCACCTTCAAAAAACTGTTGGTTGCTGCAAAAAAATCCTCGGGTTCGGGTGCCGCATACAAACGTAAATCATTACCTCTCGTGTGATCCAAAAAAGGATGAAAGTGATTTGCATGATGTTGGCGGACCTCCCAGGTCAGCTTGTCGTCAGGGATGAGATTTCCCAAAAAGTCAAAGGCTTCCCCTTTTAAGCGAAGAACTTTTCCAACACCGAAGGTAGCGTTTGGAGGGGGAGATATGATTGACACCGAGGGGACCGTTCCAATCTTTACCGTCTTCGAGACCTGCTGTTTCTGTCCAGAGGTGTCAGTCACCGCCAGTGTGACTTGGTATTCTCCAGGTTCCGAGTATTGATGAGATGCATGTTTTTCATCAACGACCACTACCTCTGTCTCGTCCCCAAAATCCCACGTGTAGGTCAGCTGGTCGTCCTCAGCATCTGTTGTGTTGCTGGCATCAAAAGTCACTGATGCATCTCCGTCGATTTCGTAATCAAAGGAAGGTGTCGGCGGCTTGTTCAAAATTCCTGTGTAGCGAATCCGAATGACGTTATCGAGGTTTCCGTATTTCGTAACATACAAAGCCTGGGTGTCTTTATACGGGCCGAACCACATTTCGACCATACGGGCCTCATTGATGTTGTCTCCTTCTTTTTGAATGGATCTGTAAAATGTTTCATTATGGGTTGGTGCAAGCGGTGGATCACATTCCCAGCAGGCTTTGTCTGGTCGATTCTCTTCTAACGCGTATATTTTCAACAAAATAAAATCAAGAAAGAGATACTTGAATTGCGAAGGCCAGATACCCTCCGGAACATGAGCCTGGCCGCCAATGCAACCGCCGTCGTTATAGCTTATGTGTTCGTACCAGTGAAATGGCATGGTAAGGGTTGGATCATCATCCAGTGGGTTACAGTCCCCCATATCGCCCGGCCTGCAAACGCCCTCGTACTTTGGCCACCCATAGTTTGTCCCCTTGTAATCAGTTCCTCCATAATATAA